ATGTTGCTCCTGTTATGAATCATAATGTAAATATCTGATATGCCGGATGTCTTAGGTGACCCCTGTGAAAGGGTCGTTTGACTGCCAAAGGGGTCACGACCCATAGATTGAGAACCTCTGCCAAGGGTTTTAGGAGCGCTGCCTGGAACTGGGATGAAGACTACGTATATATTTCTTATTATAAATCACAGTGTCACTGTTCGCTAAGGTTCTCTTCTGGAGTAAAGAAGCCTACCCAGCTTAAGCAACAAAGACAGTTTATTGGAAGGATACCAGGGTGTGTCATGGGATTCCAGCCTCAGGGGGATGTGGGGACCACAGCAGCTGGCAGCCAGGGGCCTTCTTTCACTGGACCCCACCTTCATCTCCGCTCTCTGCTGTGCACAGGCGTGCTCTCCTTCCCAGACCACGTGATGGAAACAGACTCACCAAACATCACGGAGTGTGTGTTACCATTCAGTCAGTTTGAAGGAGGAGGCTCTCTATTTTCCCCAAATTGAAATTCCTGTGAAGGAACTAATTGATCCATGTGTTTCCTCCCAGACCAATCTGCTGTGGCCAGGGGATGGTATCATGCCAGCCTGACCACCCCACCATAACCTGCACTGGGGGTGAACAGCTCCCGAAAGAGGGCTGGCTAAGCAGACAGTCCAGTAGAATCCCCCCCAATTGAGCATATGAACAAGGACAAAATAGACTGTAGAAAAGGCCAAGGCGCAGAATGGCTGTCTTAATGAAAAATGCCAACAGTGATGACAGGGACATCAACCGAGGACCAAACTATACGAATAAAGGAAAGATAGAGCCACTGCTGGAGAAAGACTGAAATGTCAGCAGCTGTCAAGAAGAAAGTAAGCCTGGCCAGCGTGGCTCAGTGTTTGAGTGTCAACCCAAGAACCAAGGGGTCACCAGTTCGATTCCCAGTCAGGGCACAAGCTCAGGGTTCGGGCTCGATCCCCAGTAGGGGCTGTGCAGGAGGCAGCCGATCAATGATGTTTCTTCTCATCGATGTTCCTATCTCTCTATCCCTCTCCCTTCCTCTCTCTCTAAAAAACATCAATTAAAAAAGAAAGAAAATAAGACTGAGAATTCCAAGTCCATCATTCTGGAGATCTCCTCAAAGTGGAAAGGATAAGACAGACAAATGTAAGCCGACACCCACTGCCTTCTCTCACCTTAGTAAGTCACCTTTCAGAGCGCCTGCGGAACTGATGAACGTTACAGTTGATGTTGATTTGAATCCCATGCACCTGTACATCATCACGTGGCCTCATAATAAATCTAAAGTCAATACTTGAGTCCAAAGAATCACATAGTTCATCAACTGACTTCACAGCTGGTATGAGAAAAAAGATCTGTGGGTATATTGTCCATAAACTTATTACAAGTTTCCAGTGATATGGCTGCCAAAGAACATCAAACATACTATTTAAAAAATTATATATGTGTATAACATAAGTTATGTATACACACACAATTTCTACATTTAGAGGAGGTTATGAGTGAGTGTGTGTACACATATGAATAAAATCTGGGACAGCCCTAGCTGGTTTGGCTCAGTGGATACAGTGTCGGCTTACAGACTGAAGGGTCCCGGGTTCTATTCCAATCAAGGGCATATACCTGGATTGCTGGCTCAATTCCCAGTAGGGGGCGTGCAGGAAGCAGCCGATCAATGATTCCCTCTCATCATTGTTTCTATCTCTCCCTCCCTCTCCCTTCCTCTCTGAAATCAGTAAAAATATATATTTTTTAAAAAATCTGGGACTATAGAAAACCCCAAAGAAGAAAGTAAAGTACTTGAGGCAGCACTAACTTCCATGAGCGTTTTGGTGAATTCCCTCCCAGCTCTTTCAGCACCCATGTGCAGTCTAAGATTCCTCTCCTGTGTAATCTAAGCCAATGCTGCCCAAAGTCTGGTCTGCAGGCTGGCAGCATCACTGTGCCCCGGAGCTTGCTGGAGGTACAACTTCTCTTCTTGGCCCAGGCCCCGACCTGCTGAATCAAGTCTCTTCAGGTGGGGACCAGCCATCTGAGTTTGCACGGCCTCTGGGTGGTTCAGACCCACAGGAAATTTTCAGGAGCACGAGGGTGTACCAGTGCTCCTCAGAGTGTGATCTGCCAGCTATTATCAGGCTGCAATAAGAAACACAAAAATTGAGAGGAAACATTTATGTTAAACTTAGAAATACTGATGTTAATTTCACATGCTGTGACATCCAACCATGGGATCCTTTTAAAAAATAGTATTATTGTATTTTACAAGGTCACTCCATAGTCGACTGCTTAAAAGAAGGAGAAAGCGCCCTGGCCAGTGTGGCTTAGTTGGGTGAGCGTCATCCCATGAACCAAAAGGTGGCCAGGTTTGATTCCTGGTCAGGGCACATACGCAGGCTGTGGGTTGGATTCCTGATCTGGGTGCATACAGGGGGTGGGGGGTGGGGCACCCGAATTATGTTTCTCTCTCACACATTTATGTTTCTCTTTCCCCACCTTCCTCTCTCTAAAATCAATAAAAAATAAATAAAAAATAAGAATCTGCAGGCCCACTAAAGAAAACAAAAAGGAGAAAGGAAAATTCATGAAAGTTGGTGCCTACAGGGAAAGATGAAACGAGTCTTTATTTTCTTTATTTAAAAATAATATAAAAATGCACAAGCAAAGAAAAGTAGGTCCTAGACCACAGATGGTTTGAGAAGCACTGGGCACAGTGTGTCTGAGTCTGTCTCTTCTGAGACAAAACTGCCCGTTTTCAAGGGGAACCTGCCACAACTGCAGACACTTGTGAGGCCACCGCTAAACTGAGCACCTGCTGGTTTTGCTGGAGTGAGAGGTTTTGAGTTTGGTGTGGAGGGATGAGTAGGAGCCAGACCTTGGATGAGTAGGAGCCAGACCTTGGTCTTTAGAAGCAGAGAGGGCCACTGTAGGTTGGTTTGTTCATTTGTTTCACTGTAGGTTTATTAAAGCTGGGAAATGGCACGATCAGATTTGTGTTTTGAAATGAGTGGGCAAGACTGGGTGCAGGAAGGTATGTTGGGAGGTGGTGCTCCTTGCATTTTCCTTCGGTGTTGCCTGAGACATGGAGAGCATGGTTCCATCTTATTTTACTATAAAAAGCCTGGCTATTGGCCACTTTTACATCCTGGACCGCAGACCCTCAGAGCAAAATTTTAATTATATTTCCACAACATAGGAAAAATCTATCTGGCACTGGCTGGTGTGTTCAGTGGTTAGAGTGCAGCCCACACACTGAAGGGTTGTGGGTTCAACTTCTGGGTTAGGGCACATACCTGGGTTGCAGGTTTGATCCCCAACCAGTCAGAGCGTGTGTAGAAGGCAACTAATCAATGTGTCTCCCTCACATTGGTGTTTCTCTCTCTCTCTCTCTCTCCCCCTCATCCCTCCCTTCCTTCCACTCTATCTAAAAAAAAAGAAGAAATGAAAAAAATATCCTTGGGTGAGGATTAATTTTTTTAATCATTATTTAATAGGCTTTACTAAACTATGATTTTCCCAGAAATGCATGGGTATAAAATTTATGGATTAAAAATTAATATTATTATGTATGATATGTACCTGCATATGTGACTGCTAATTTAGTTAAATTCCATTTGTATGTGTTGAGGAAACCACTCAGTGCCTAGCATGGTACATGTAGTGATTCCCAGTTCTGGTCTTAACCGGCCAGTAATATTTCTTATAAAACTGGAGAGTCTAACCTAGGCTCACCTCCTTTTTATTTTATTAATTAAAAACCTAAAACCGCCAAAACCGGTTTGGCTCAGTGGATAGAGCACCGGCTTGCGGACTGAAAGGTCCCAGGTTCGATTCCGGTCAAGGGCATGTACCTGGGTTGCGGGCACATCCCCAGTAGGGAGTGTGCAGGAGGCAGCTGATCGATGTTTCTCTCTCATCAATGTTTCTAACTCTCTATCTCTCTCCCTTCCTCTCTGTAAAAAATCAATAAAATATATTTAAAAAAAACAAACCTAAAACCAAATTAAAAAATTTTATATTTACTGTCACTATACATTTAAAAAAATCTCAGAAACAACACCAAATGGTGGGAAGTAGTCAAGAAGACTCTATATTTTCTCCATTAGTATTTAGAAGCCAATTTTACTGGAGGCATAATTTACACATTATAAAATGCACACATAGTAAGTGAGGGGAAAACAGGAAGGACCGAATCTTAGAAGACAGAACAATGATTGAAGCCAGATAGATTTAGTTTTTGAAAAATTCATCTATCTCCTTCATTTTTCTCTTTTTACCACGGATTGGTGAAAATGTCCTCAGGGCTGGTCCGCAGGTGCACTTGGGGAGCCATTCTAGGAGTGGCTGAGAAAGAGGAACTTGACGGAACACAGTGTAGGGGAGAAAAATAACTTTTCCTCTACCCTTCTCCGTCCTTGTCTGACACCCCCAAACATCACCATAATAAAACATATTAAGAGGTGAACAAATTTAATTACATATGTGCACAGGGGAGTCCCACAAGATGAGACTCCAAAGGCAGCCGATGATTGAGGCTAACATACCCTCCTGATAGGGTAGGACCAGGGGCTTGGGGCTGCAGCGTAGGGAAGGCAAGTCATGGGAGGTGAGGAGAGGAAATGTTTGGCAAACAGTGCTTCCCTGCCAAGTAGGACAATCTCTCCGCTGAAAAAGGTCTCTGCGAATAGCTCTGTTGCTGGTGCAGGTGGGCTTTCTAATGTAATGCTCTCTTATAAACGGGTAAATAATGCTCTGTTTTCAGAGCTTCTCCTATGTCTGCAATTTCTCAGACATAATAAACATGCCAAAGAGGCATGTTTTGGGGGTGGCAAATTCTGCCGCCCTCTGACCTAGGAAATGTAGAGCTAACCCTGAGGAGCCCTTGCTGGGGGCCCAGGAAGTGAAAGGTGAGGTCACGGTGGGGTGGGGAGGAGAATCATACTTGTGTATCCGTTTATGCATTCATCACCTCTTACCAATCTTTTTCTTTTAAACCTGTTTAGCCTATCAGCTTATCACCGTGGTGATTGCAGCAGCAGGAGGCGGGCTTCTGCTGATCCTTGGCATTGCACTGATTGTCACCTGCTGCCGGTGAGTGGTGGAGTTCACTTCTTTGCATGTGCTATGCAAGGGCCAATTTTTACTCTTTGGGAATGTTCGGGGTGGTTTACAGCATTAAATCGCGATATATGACTGAACCACTAAAAAAAGCAGAAAGGGAAATTCATGATAGGTAGTGCCATTGGAGGAAAGAAAAGACATTTATTTTCTTTAATGAAAAGGAATATCCAAAAGCACAAGCAACAAAAAAGATAGACTGGACTGCGTTAAAGTTAAAAACTTCTCTGCTAATGTATGGAACAAAATTTTTTCTCTACCCTTTTAGGTTCTTTGGTCTGATAATCAAATTAACATATGACAGTTTATGGGATAAAAACACATTTAATTATGTATATAGGTGGTGGGTGGTGGCACATATAAAGATGAGACCAGCAGGCAATCAGACAATTGAGGCTTATGTTCCATCCTGAGCTCAGAGAAGGGACTTCAGAGGGGAGGAAGGTGATTCCCAGGAAGATGGATAAACCAGTGTTCGCCATGCCATGCAGAGACAATGGGATGTAGAGACAGTGGGACGTGGAGGGGACTTTGAACAAACAGGCCCTGCTGAGCTCCCAGCAGCTTCCCACGCCCAGCCCACACTCTTTGGAGTGATCTCTGGTGATAGCTCTCTTCTGGACCACGCCCTCCATCAAAATCCTTTTAGGTAGTTAAAGGGAGGTATAAAAGCTCTTCCTGAGTCTTTTGAGCCTTGACTATCTTCAAATTTGTCTGCAGGCCACAGTGGCATGTTCTGGGGAGACTTGTTCTGAACCCCTTCAACTTAAAAGATCACTATCAAGAAAGTGAAAGGACAAACCACAGAATGAGAGAGAGTATTTGCAAATAAATCGTATGTGTAATAAGAGACTTGCATCTGGAATATATAAAGGTGTCTTACAACTCAATAATAAAAAGACATTAAGTCATAATGGACCATTTTAAAATGTCCTATTTTAAAATGGAAAAGAACTTGAAAAGACATTTCTCCAGAGAAGATATACAAGTGTCCAGAAGGCACATGAAGGATGTTCAGCATCATTAGCCACCGGGAAAATGCAATCAAGACCATCTTATACCCACTGTGATGGGTAATTTTTTCTCTTAAAAAAAGCCCTGGCTGGATAGTTCAGTTGGTCAGAGTATTATTTTGATACGCCAAGGTTGCAAGTTCGACCCCTAATCAGGGCACATACAAGAACTAACCAGTGAATACGTAACTAAGTGGAACACCTTTACCTCATGTGGTTGGGTAATCAAAACTGAGGGGTTGGAGAAAGGTACAAAGAAAACAATGCAAGGTCATCCTCAACCAGCGCTTCTCTCTGAAGTCAATCAATCAGTAAAATGTTTTTTAAACCCAGGAAATTACAAGTGTTGGTATGAGGATATGGAAAAACTAGAACACAAATAAATACACTGCTGTAGAAATGTAAAATGATGCAGCCACTTTGAAAGTGTCTGGCCATTCCTCAGAAAGTTAAACACAGTGTTGCCATTTGACCTAGTACTTCTACTCTTAGATATATACCAAGAGAAATGAGAAGTTATGTCCACACAGAAACATGTACATGAATCTTCATAGTAGCATTTTTCATAATAGCCAAGAGGTGAAAATAACCCCAGTATCCATCAACTGATGAATGGATAAGCAAAATGTGACATGTCCATACAATTAAATATTATATATATATATATATATACACACACATGGCGGAACGACCAGTCACTATGATGCCCACTGACCAGCAGGGGCTAGACGCTCAACACAGAAGCTGCCGTGGTGCACACTGACCATTTACAGAGAAACGGCACTGCGGACCTGGCACTCACAAAGCAACACTCGGCTTGCCCCAAAGTGGGACACAGGCCCTGCCACCACCCCAGAGCAACATCCCACCAAATTGTAGCCAATGCTGCCAAGACCTCATGGCAAGAAATGTGGCCCACAGCCCAGCCCAGAAACAGTGACTGTGGGTGCCAGGTAATGACGTAACGTAGCAATGCCTGGATTCCTCTCCCTAGCCTCCTTGGAGTTTCTTCAGCTCAGGAACATGACTTGCTTGATAGCCAGGTGCAAACATTTTACAGTTTAACCAAATGTCTGTGAAACATTTTCACATGCCTCATCTCATTTGATCCTCACAGAAGTCCTGGAGTAGGTAGATAGGAGACTCAGTAGAATCCTATTTTCTTTTTATTAGCCAGAAAATAGAGATTTAGGAAGTTTAGAAAGTGAACTTAGAAAGTTTAGAAACCAACTGAAAAGAAATAAGAAATGGTGGACTTTCAAAATGACTTCAGGTTTTCTCACTGCGGAATATAGTCAAAGACTGCTGTAATTAAATATTTCACCCTCTGTTCTCCCTGCATGATATATAATAATCTGCTTCATGTTGATATTTACTGCTGTGTTGCTGACAGTTTCCTGAAAGAGAGGTTGGGGTGCTTTGCTGGGCTGGAAAAAGTTTAGCTAAATCAGAAAGCAGGTCTAATTAAGCAAATACACACACACACACACATACTAGTGGCCCAGTGCATGAAATTTGTGCACATTAAAAGGGAATTAATTAGAGGAAATATTTTAATATTGCTATTTGCCCTTTCTCTATAATAGAAGTATCAGAGATGAAAGAAAATTAGTAAAATGTATATGAAAATCTTCCTCCTGTCAGAGTCTGGGGCACACTGAGGGACCCAGAGTCAAGTTCCCGCCCACCCATGTGCACCTCAAAATTGCATGAGATCCTGACCCGGCTGGCCCCACCCCTGTCAAGCCCCACCAGGTGGGGGTTGCAGCCTCAGGTCTCCCAGTGCATCCTCAGGTCCCCCAGCCCAGCGCTGGGGTGGGGGGCGTGGCCTGAGGTCCCCCATCAAGCCCCGCCGGGCAGGGGGTGTGGTCTGAGGTCCCCTGTCAAGCCCCACCAGACGGGGAGCGCAGCCTCAGGTCCCCCACCCTGGCACCACGCAACCTCAGGTCCCTGCTGATCGCTCATTATGGCTTGTGTTACGGGAACCCTGACTCTGCTGTGGGCGCAGCCATCTTGTGGCAGTGTGATGGAGTGAGGGTCAATTTGCATATTACCACTTTATTATATAAGATAAAGCTCTCGCTGGCGCCAATCACACATGTGTATTTCCATCTGTCATTGTCAATTGTGAATCTGGTTGACATTTCTATTATAGAGAAAGGGTGAATAGTGATATTAAAATATTTCTTCTAGGTAGAGGGTAACGTGGGGACAAGGACACATGTAATATCTTAATCAATAAAAAATATATTTAAAAAAATATTTCTTCCAATTAATTTCCTTTCAATGTGAACAAATTCATGCACCGGGTCTCTAGTTCAACCATAAAAAGGAATGAAATACTGATACATGCTGTAATGTGCATGAGCTTTGAAAATATTATGCTAAGTGAAATAAGCCAGCCTTAAAAGACCAACTATTGCATTTGTATGAAATGTTCCAAGTTGGCAAATCTAATAGAGACAGAAAGTATATGAGTGATTGCCTACGACTGGGTGGGCAGAGGGTAGAATTGAGAAGTAATGGCTAAGGAGTACGAGGTTTCTCTTCGGGGTGATGAAACTGTTCTAAAATTGTGATGATGGTTACACAACACTGAATATACTAAAAACCACTGAGTGTATACTCTAAATGGACAAA